CTAAATATACTAAAATATTACTTTTATACCAGTCTGCTGCTGCAGGCTCTGCCCCTGATCTGCCTGCTTGGCTGACATCATCTGAAGTGTTGATCAAAGCCAATCACAATGTTTTCCCATAGTAAAGCAGTGGCTTGGCTGATACTGTCAAGGAGGCAGATCAGGAGCTAAGCCAGCACAAGTCAAACAGAGCCCTGGCCAATCAGCATCTCCTTATAGATGTCACGGGAGTCATAACCCATCATGCAGGAAAGAGGAAACCACAAAAGGTGGTTCTGAAAGACGTATTACCGAGCCTTAGAATGGCCGGACATAACGTAACTAAACAACAAGAACCAGGGTCAAGAATAAATCAAGGACAGGGATAACAGGAATACTCAAGAGTCAAGACAAAACTGGGGTCAGGATACCAGAAATCACGAGTCAAATTTGAAGTCAAGATCAGGATACCAGAAATCACAAGTCAAATATGAAGCTGGGTCGGGATACCAGAAATCACATACGAAACCGAGGTTAAACGCAGGAAATCACAAAAGAATCACTAGGAGCATTAAATGAGGTTCTAACAGAAACCATGATAGGGCAATAAATGAGTGCTAAAACAAGCCTTAAATAGGCTTACCTATGTTCTGATAGGTCCACTTTAAGAGTCCACATCTATATATAGACGTCCTGCCATGGCTGCGTAATTCAGACAGACCGTGCGGCAGGAGGATGTCTGCTAGGATCGAGGGAGGTGAGTCTCCCTCAGTGTTCCCGTGATCGTGGAGCGATTGGACCACGCGGCTGGAATAGGTTGACTAGGATCGAGGGAGGCGAGTCAGTGTGCCACGCGGTCTTATGGAGCGGTCGGATCACGCGGCAGGAGGGGGTCTGCGCGGCTCATCGGATGTAAGTAATACCACAATAGAGATGCACTGAATCTATGCATCTCTATGAGGAAAAGCTCAGTATCTCCATGCAGAGGGTGAATAGAAGTGCTGCACTGCCCCAGAAAGCATCTCTAGCAGCAGGGCCAGATAAGGGGCCCAGTGGGCTTGGTGCTGACAATTATGATGGACCTAATTACAAAATCTTATTGACCAAAAACACTAAAACAGTCCTACCTCCTAAGCGTCATGTATCTGATGGTGCTGGAGGGAAACTCATAGGATGCAGCTATGAGAAACACATACCCTATGCTAATTTCATGCTTTCAAGTAAACCCATACCCCCCAACAGCAGTGTCCAGTAAAGCGGGAAGTTTATGGATGGGGTAAAAGGGTGGGCCACTGACACAAAATACATAACCAGAACTGCTGAAAGGGACGAACATACACAAAAAGGGGGCATTTCTGTGTCCCTATGTCTCCCAGCCCCTAAGTGTCTGTTTCCCCATGTATCCCAGTGTCCCCATGTCACTAGGACCCTAGGGGACATTGAGAAACATTGGGACACTGGGAGACCTCGGGACACTGAGACTCTTGGGGACACTGGGAGACATGGGGCACTGAGACAATGTGATACATAGGGGACACTGTGATATATAGGGGACACTGGTGACTTAATAAAGACATGGGTACAGGTCAAAATGTTGCGGTGTCCAATAAACCTGCTTAAATCTATCACAGTGAGTACCTGAGATTTTTTCTTTTATACTAGGGGACACAAACACTAGGAGACATGGGGACACTTGGAGACATTGGGACACTGAGACACTGGGAGACTAGGGGACTTTGGAAGAGTAGGAAACACTGAGACACTGGCACACTACGGACATTGAGAGACATCAGGGACACTGGGAGACATGGGTATACTGAGATACTAGGGACACTGGCTGGGAGACATGGAGCCACTGGGAGTGCCCCATGTCTCCCAGGTCTCAAAGTTGCCCAGTGTCCCCATGTCTCCCTGTGTCCCCATGTCTCTCAGTGTCCCCTAGTGTCTCAGTATCCCCACGTCACCCAGTGTCCTCTAGTATTTGTATCCCCATGTCTCCCAGTGTCCCTTAGAGTCTGTGTCCCCATGTCTCCCAGTGCCCCGATGTCACTAGGACACTAGGGAACACTAAGAGACATTGGAACACTGTGAGACATGGGGACACTGAGACACTGGGAGAGACATGGGGACACTGAGATACATGGGGACACTGAGAGACTAGGGGACTCTGGGAGACTAGGGACACTGAGAGACACCAGGGGCACTGGGAGACATGGGGACATGGAGAGACACCAGGGACATTGGGAGACATGGGGACACTGAGACACTAGGGACACTGGCTGGGAGACATGGGGACACTGAGAGACTATGGGCCACTGGGAGACATGGGGCCACTGTGTCCCTAGTGTCTCAGGATCCCCATGTTCCCCAGTGTCCCAATGTCTTAGCGTCCGCAAGTCTCTCACCGTCCCCATATCTTGCAGGCTCAGAGCTGCTGTCTGGCCTCTCTACGCAGAGCTGCTCCCCCATGGATCAGTGATTAGAGAGAGGCAGGGAGAGAGATGCTGTAACTTCTTATCCCTGCCTCTCTCCACACAAACAGCGACCCCTACTGGCTGCCGCTGGTATTGCAGAATAATCTCTGTTTATTACTGCTCTGGCACCGGCTAGGCAGCCTCAAATATCTGAGAAATACTTCTGAGAAATACCTGACAACCAAAAGAAATACATAAGAAATACCTGGCAACCCTAAGAGTAGTGAGTAAAAAAAAATATATATATATATATTTTTTAAAATCAATGGATCTATTCCATGGGCCTGGGCCTGAGGTGCAGCTCCATCAGCCCCTATGTTAATCCGGCCCTTTCTAGCAGCCACCTGAGGAGTGGCCAGTGGAGGTATCCCTAAGATATAATGTAAACACTGCATTTTCTCTGAAAAGACAGTGTTTACAGCAAAAAGCCTGAAGGTAATGATTCTACTCACCAGAACAAATACAATAAGCTGTAGTTGTTCTGGTGACTATAGTGTCCCTTTCACTGTCTGGAGTCTTTGCATATTTTGCAAAACCCTCCTATGGTGACTGCTCTACTTGGTGTCTGGTGACCCCAGGGGAAGGTGAGTTTTACTTACCTGAACTTGTTCCAAGTGATCACTGTCATCTTCATCCAGTCCATCCTCTTCAGATGCTATGAGCCCACATCAGTGTTGTACTATCACACATTCAAGAGTACAACACTGATGTCTAAAGAGGATCCCACAAGACCGTAGGATCCCGCATAGACAATACCTTTGTTCCTACACACGTTGCTTGTGTTGCTTTAAATAAGTTTATTAGTTTAAATTTGGAGAAAACATGCAGCTGATCATCATCATTTTTTCATGATTTGTATTTGCTCTTTATGTCATTAAAAATGTATAATATAAAAAAAACAACAATATAATTAAAATTAAGTAATTAAGATTTTGCTACTCATTATTATATCATAGATCGGATAACCTTGTTCATCCAAGGTTTGATTAAATTCACTGTATGAAACTTGGGACTTCTTTTAAGCCTCTCCTCTCTCTGGATTTCTGCTCAAAAGAGATGACACTAACCAAAAGGTCTTCGACTATTTCTTGTGGTCTACACAGGACCAGAATGACAATCCAGATACAAATATAGACCAGGGCAGAAATCCAGATACAATCAATCGGGGTGTTCGTGAGTGCAGAATCTTTTTTTTTTTTGGAGATTGTTAGTGTCAGTTTTTTTTCTGACTGTCGGATTTTTTAATTTTGCTAAACTATAAACCAGTCTGTTAAAAGTGGTCTGAAGAATTATGCTAAATTTGCACTTTGCTCAAGAGACATGAGATGTAAGTGAAAATGTATTATTAAATATATCTTATTGCTGCTCAACCTTTTTAATGATATTGACACAGCACTGAGTACATTTGTGGCTTAACACAGCACTCGCAGTTTTCTTCAAAGTTCATTTCAGCACTTTATTTCATCACAGTCATTGCAGTATTAACATTTTAGCCACCATGCTTTTTATAAAGACGTCTTACATATAATAAGCAACTTGTTTTACTTTAAAGCAGCTCTGTCACGTCCCAATATTTTATAAAGATATTATCTCATGCTGACTGTGTTTCCATTTCACTGAAATATACCATAAAACAAAGTAGACAATGCTTGAGGCTGGCTAAAGTTAACAAAAGAATGAGTTCTGCCGTCAACTTTTGCCCATTCTTAGCACCCATCACAAGTGACAACGTTTACATTCAGGTTCAGATTTATTGAGAGACATGAGCTCCCACATTCTCAAGGTATCCTCCATAAACCTTAGGTTTGTACTCTTGCAAACGAAGCTCCTGTAGCCGAAGAAGGTCTTCAGGAAGAAGATGGTGGAGGCCACAAGGGACAGCTTCAGATAAGTAAACCTACCTTCCAATACAACTATGGCGACTTGACCCTAACCATAGATGAATATGCAAAGACACCTGAAAATGAAAATCCATTTGGAGATTAGCAATAAAACAAATAAGAAAGAGAGACAGAGGTAGATAGATAGAATACCCTCCATTAATGATACTTAGAATTTACTGTGAAAAACTTAGAAAAGTAATCCCTCTTATCATGCTGTGTCCATCTTCGAAATGCATTCTGAGTAATATATGAAGCAGAGTTGACACAGTTCATTTTTGGGGGGAATGATTTTTCATTTAGGAAATGTGTAGTTCCACTCTGCTAATGGCATCACCATTTATTTATTAATTTTTTTAAGATAATTTTAAGATAATTTTTTATTGAGAAGAATAATAGAATACATATAATGATTTTAGACATCAATGCGCAACAATCTCAGATAAGACAATGATACAAATAAATACTGCGAGTACAATAGTACAGTTACAAATTGCAAGGAAAACCCATTATAGATATATGCATCATGTCATCAAACAGCGTAAATAATATGGTGGTACAGATAAAGAGTATAAATGAATGGCATTGCTTGCGTATATACATCAAAACTGAATATATATTCTCTTAGGTATTTTCCAAACTCAACTTTTTTTAATATATATTTTTTTTATACCAGTGTCCTCAGTGCCATTTTATAATTATTTTTTTCAAGTAGTCCTAGTTTAAATTCTTCTATATACTTTTCGATTTTCTATCCTTCTTTCCCTTTGTCGGCTTTTCATCCTTCCTGACTATCCCAAAGATTCTTCGGTTGCAGTTGGAGTTTGGAAGTGTTGGATTTGCAAGATTCCACTTTACTAACGTTTGGTGTCCTTATCATGCCGAACGATAATGTTTGTTTCTAACAGTAATTTCCTAAAGATACAGGGTGATGATTCATGATCAGTTTATATTTTACAGAAATCATATTCTGTTGATTTTGAACAGATCTCCAAATCATGATATTCTTATATTTTACAGCCTTTGTAATTCCATTGTTTTTAAACAGACCTCCTGCTTAGATACACTGCTGGGCTCGGACTGAATATAGTTTGTATAATTGATCTCTGAAAATGACTTCTAGCAAATCCTCCCCTTTAAAACGCAGCAATGTATGATTAATCGTCTGATTGAAAACAGAGAAAATATTTCTCTGCACTGACCGAAATGACATTTATCTGTAAAAAAGTATGGCAAGCATTACAGCGTAAAACACCCCAGAGTATCAGGCGAGAAAAGAATAAAAAGGTATTTCAGGATTGTAAATTTAATTACTTACACCTGCTGAGAGCATGTGACGTCAGAAATCCACCAAAACTCCAGATTTGAATATTTAAGGGAAAACTGCCTGTTGTTGCTGCCATCTTTAATTTATTTTATTTATTACTGGTATTTATAAAGCGCCAAACATATTCCACTGTGTTGTACAATTGGAAAAAAGACAATACAATAAGAACAGACCAATACAACAGGTAGAGCGCCCTGCCCATGAGCTTATAATCTAAAGGTTAAACTGTGGAGTTGAGACAAAAGGTAGCAGAGGAACTTGTATGAGAGGTTATAACTGCAGCAGCTGATAGCATGTGAAGATAATAAGGAGGTGATTGGCTCTGGTTCCAAACATCTGGAAGAGCATGCTATATAGGTACAAGGAGCCAGGGTGGGAGGGAGGAGGTGGGTGGGTTGAGCCGAGTAAAATTAAATGGGCTACTTGCAGGGGAGGATGTAAAACTGGCCCTAATGAGTGGAGAAACAGTTATTTAAAGGAAATCATGGCTAGGAGTAGCTGTCTCAAATTTTTGGCCCCTGTACCACAGTGACACATTTTTAACATACATCAGATGCAACATGACTTCCAACATTTCACGTGGACAAAGAATTTAGTTTTAGAAGTGTGAGTGTGGATGAGGCAGGGCTGTTCTGAGAAAGTTCAGGTGACTTACTAGTAACAATTTATACCAACAAAATGTAATTTAGAACAAAAACAATGCATCGCATTTACAAAGACTGATTTCTAAAGTCATTTATTGTAAAGACACATTACAGTGAGTATTATTGCTGTGCAGCTCTGTTATACACTCAGATGCACCAACAATATGGAGCTCCTAGAAAAGAGGGTCATTGGGAGGTATGGATACAAGCTCCAGTTTCTTACACTCGCAAAAGTGTGATCCATCCAAGTGGCATGCCTTAATTACTTTCATTTCATTAGCTAAAATACAATGATCAATATGCTCCCTCTGCCTAAATGAATAGAGTTTTAGGAGTCGGGATAGTGAAAAGAAATGACCAAGAAATGTGTTAATTAAAGTACAGGCAGGCAAAGAACATTTCTGTGCACGATTGCCAAAGGCATACCTAAAACTAGCATACCTTCCACCCTAAACCCTTTTCTGGAAAAATGGCAGCAATTGACATCCCATGAGTAAGTACCGCAGCCCTGTCCAACAGGGGTTGCAAGCAGGTAACACCATGAGCCTGTATAAATTCCTTCAACTCGGCCAGCAAATCTGTCATGTGGGGGAGCAGCCATGAGTAACCTCTACTTCCATTCCACGGAGCAAGGCATGAAGATGTAGATCTGACTTCTCTGCCCAGAACCGGAAAGGGAGGAGGAACGGTAAGTGACAACGTTTATAACATTTTGAAAACTTGCATTAACCAATCTGCTACTTTTTAACTGTCCTAAACAGGCATGCAAGGCATTCATGGCTTTACTCACCTAACTGGTGCATTGGGCTTCCTTTTAAGGAGGTGGCATAGTGTCCAATTTGCCAATTTTATGCAGCAATAACTTGACTGTATCTTAAATTGTGAGTTATTACATTTACATATTTAGGCAGTTACTAAACGTTGTCGCCTAATGATATGATAAGAGCACAATCTGAATGTGTGATACATTTTCCAGTACATTGCAGATGCACATATTGCCCAGTTGCTAGATGAAAAGAAAAAGAAGCAAATACATTTCATATCACCAAAAAATGAAACTTTTTCAGCATTCTTTGAGGTTGTATGTTGGGATGAACGTGTTACCAATAACAGAGGAAAAGTCCAGGCACTCCAATAGCTTTAGGTCACATCTATTAGAACCCAGGAAACTCTGCAACGTTTCGACCCAGAATTGGGTCTTTGTCAAGCTACTTGACACAAAACAATACAGACATTTATAGGGAAAAACATAGTGAAAGTACAAAAAAATACAACCAAATAATTAGTGAATAATTAAACACATAATTAATTAACAAGTAAAACCATTAATTATAGGTATAGGTGGTGAAATAATTTGCTACTCACCACCTCACCAACATCGAAACCACCGTTGGTAATTGCATTATAAAAAGGAACTACACAGCACGGGATTTATTGTTAATAAATGAAGATTTAATGAACAACTAAAAAATAAAATGAAAAGATAAAAACAAAGATCATTTGGCTGGCAGTGTCTAACACTACTAAATTTAAACTACTTCTTTCTGGTTGGAGGGAGGATGTCTCCACCACGTCTGCCTTTCGTGCGGAGCATGACATCACTATACGTCTCAACAAATGTGCGTGACATCATCGCTTGATTTGCCACGCGTGACATTATTGCATATGCAATGTGCTCGACTGGATGGAACACTGCACTGAGCAGAAAGCTGTGTCTCCAACTGCAGGAGAGACAAAACATGCCCAAAATAAAGGGTAACTTCCATAGGGCTTCTGTGGATGGAGTGCAGTTCCTACGTTGATATTGGGATAAACGTGTTAGACCATCCCTACTAGAAACCTACCTTTTTTCTGGATCAGTTCAGTAATGGTAGGGGTACTGGCAAAAGAAGAGCAGTCTTTGCAGAAGTCTGTAAACTAAATATGAGAATTCTAGAACAGCGTGCACAGTAAAACATAATGTATTTTCCAAGCTATAAAACATTAATTATTTAGAGGCATCAAGTGTGGCAATGACATAGTGCTTCCAGAATCCTCTAACCAGCTGTCTTTCTGGCTATGCATTAATTTTGCCTTGAACACTCTCTGCGGAATAAAATGGTGTAAATTACATATTATATGCACGTGCAAGTGGATTTATTTCTCTGACCTTAAATGATCTCTGCAGAATGAATCTTCTAGCTTGGGAGGGTGAGGTGTTATTGTACCACGGCTTTAATCTAACAGGCATTCATTGCAAGTCTATCAGCACAGTCAGTGACATTAAATTCCAGAAAAGGTTGTCATATTTCTCTGTACTTCGAAAGGTTCTAGATTTAGAAAGAAAGATTTCACGTTACGCAATATATAGATCATCGGCCAAGCAGCATGAAACATCTAAGGAAATTAGATGGATTGCATAAAATAATACACATCAACTCAAAACTCAATTTTGAGGGGATCGATCAGATTATTTAGATCTGTTATTAGGAAGCATCAAATATTTTTTATTTTGCATTTTGGTGTGTATGCTTCACGCATTTAACATTTTAAATATCATCATATGTAATGGATCTACAATTCATCATACGTGCATAATCTACAATTATGAAATATTGCATATTAATTTTTATATAATGTTAGTAGCAGGCTACATATATTACAATCAAAATTATAACTGATTGCAATGCTTGAATCCTATGTGATCCAGAATTTGTTTTGACCTTTAGATATCTTTTTTCAGATTTCAAACTCCTCAATTTGAATGTTTCACTTACATAAGTGGAATTGAACAAAATTGTCATATTATTACTAGTTAAGAGAAAAAAACTAATCATAAAAAGGATGGATTAACCCCTTCACATCCTTTGATGTCATAACAATCTGTTCTCTAAGGATCATATTCCAAAACTGAAGGATAATCTCTGTATGGAGTAGCCATGCTGGCATTCTGGCGCACGGTACACAGGGGCAAGATTTTGTTGACTGCACAGTATCAACTGGTTCTTAAATGGTTAATATATAAAATGCCTTAATTTATTCCTCTTATAATGAACAGGTGAGAGATGTATTAGCAAACTGTTCAAATTAAGTCCAAAACAACACAAAAATGTAATAATAGTCCTGACCTGTTACAACGTTATGCTATACAAGTGCGCTAGTAGGCTAAGCAACTACCCTATTGTGTAGCTATATCCCTAAATTCCCAACATACTTAACCCTGTTACTTAAACTTGACAAATCTTACTACCCAACATGTCCAGTCAGCTAAATGCCTCGATATCACCAAAGACACATAAAACTTGGAGTCTGGTGGGTGTCTCCACCTTCCAGGCTCCTAGTCAGAGTGCAGCGCTATATCAGCGTATTCAAGGTGTACATACAGCAAAGTTTGGTACATAGACACTTACCCCTTTAAGAATGTATTTTTTAGGGGGTACACATGAAATAAAAAAGAGAGACACACAGGAATGGTACAATACGGTATAGTATAAATGGGCTAATATCGATATTATCAGTGAGTAAAAATACACTTAAGCCCTGAATTGTAATATATGTGATTATTGGAGCCAGGGAATTGCAGCCTAATGTAAGGCCCTGAGTTACAGCATAATGTATTCCAAGACGGAACTCTCTGGAGAGCCAACAACGTAAACAGTACAGGAGTTGGGGTTAGCAGACATTTCAGGTCGGTGAAAGAGGGCATATGGTGATGGCTAGAGCTGGGTTACTTGGAGCTAAGTTGGCGTCAGAGCATTTATTACACTATGTTTTTCTTCTTTTTACACATGCCTTGGGAATTATTTTTTTTTGTTTAAATGTAAACATATTTCATTATATGCATTATAACTGAAAATAAATCTGAATATGATGTATCTAACATGAATAATTTATTTGCAAACGTATATTCTGCCATGCAAAATGTCTAGAGCAAAATGTACTTCACATGAACATTGCTCTCCGACTACTAAATCTGTAGTTATAGTCATGTGCAGCAACCCAAAACACTGCCACAGACAGGGAGGTTAATATATCCAAACAGTGTGCAGTGGTATAGTGATGTATCTTGACACATAACATTGAATATGTTTTTTTTTTTTTATGCCATTTCACATTTAAGAGTGAGATGGATGAGTTTGTAGGTTTCTTCTATATTTCTTTAATTAAAACAATATTTTCCATTTGACTTTCTGGGACACCTATTTTACATATATACAGTGCATTATGCTACAGACCTTCAATTATCCTCTTCGGTATTTGTTTGAAAAATACACTTTATCCTCATTAATCAACTGTTATTAGTCCAATGCTATGCATTCTGGTTCTCAAGGCATGACCATGAAGATTTGACTTTTCGGCTACGGAAAAGACGAGCTTTGGAATTTTAATGCATTAACTCCTTATCAAGAAAAAAAAAACTTGTGTTTCCTTTGATTTCATTCTTTTCAAAATCATGTGAGGTACATACAGATCTTTTATCAAAGAGTGTATTGAGCTTTATGTGGCGGGACCGCTGCCTGTTCATGAATTGCTATAAGATATTCCCTGTGTTGCTATTAAATATTCCCTGTGTTTTCCCATGTATTGTTTTGTATTCATGTGTTTTACCTGCTCCCCATTCGGGAGAGCTCAATACGAACGGGTTCCGTTCGCCTCCCAAACGGGGACCACCACGAAACCTAATTTAGCATGTTGTCTTAGAACGCCCACACCTCGTAATGAGGAGTCGAAATCACAAACAGCAAGGGAAGCCTTGGCGAATGCCGACCCTGTTTGGCGGCCTGTTCGTTAGATGAACGCCAACTAGGGGGAGCATTTGTGGATTGCTTAACACCTTATTCGGTTCCTGAACGGGGACCTCCCCAGTGCCCCTTGGAGTGTTCACACCAATCAATTAGAACGTTGACAACTTGCAACATGTGAAACCACAAGGGAAGTAATTAATAAATGCTTCCCTTGGGGCCGCCGTTCGTATAGATGAGCGGCGGCCAGGGGGAGCATTCTTGTTACGAAAGGAGGCACTTCCCTCACCTGGTTTCACCCAGGGGTCCCACGAGCGGAGGCAGTTATCGTTCTGGGGGTCCTTGAGATTGGTGGGGACACTCATTTGGGGACAATGGCAGTTTGGCGGGCTTTCTGTGCTTGGGATTTACAGAGATAGTAAGCTTTCCCGTGCTGGGACTCCCAGGTACAGAGACTCATGGGATGAAGACCCCCTGGTCACTGGAGGTGGGAAACCCTGAGGTTGGGTGGCGGGAACAGGGGATAAAGGGACTGGAGTTCTGTTTCTGTCAGGAGACACCTGGGGGGGAGGACCCTTGGAGGGGACAGTGAGTGGCGGGAACAGGGGACAAAGGGATTGGGGTTCCAGTTCCATTATGCGACCTCTGGGAGGGGAAGGACCCTGGGAGGGGACATTGTCGTTATATGTGATCCACCCTTGCATGGGGAAATTATAAAGTCGAGTGTGGTCAATAAAGTTGTTGTTGTACCCCCAGGACTGTGTGTCATCCGGTTACTGGGTGGTAAATGGGTCTCTCAGTACGATAACTGATTCCCTTCCAGGGACCAGACGTGGCTGAGCAAGGACAACAGGTCGAGTTGTCAGCAGGCCCGCTACATTTTATATATATTAAATTATTATCATTCGTATATCCAGCCTATGTATACACATAATAATGTATTCATGTTGGAGAGGCAGAATCTCCAACATGAATACAGTTGTGTTTAGCAGACTCGACAATAGGTGTAACTGTAGCACGTGTATGCAGTTATATAATAACGTACAGTTTGTGCCTTTTTTCTTTTCATTTTTGCATTGTATTATATTATTTTCTCTAAGATTTCTTTTTACCAGCATAGTTAATGCCCTTCATTTATTTTACTATTGCTAGAGACCTTTGAGAAAAAAAAAATAACACGTAAAACCACTTTCTTTAACATTTATTGTTTTTTACCCAAGCCTATGTCCTCAGCCCACTGTATGTATTGTTTGATATATCGTCAGCAATATTAATGTCACATTGTATTTGGGCTTTTAGAATGCCAATTGCTTGCATAAATCTTTATTTCCCTTTTTTCATAGTATATACATATGTTTATTTGTTTCATGCTTACTTATATCAGTCTATGTATTCGGTGATATAGTCTCTGTGACTGCAATGTCTGCTTATTTATGTGTATTGGGATCTGGCCTTGTCAGTGCACTTAGATCCTTTGTGTACTCACAAAACGGCGGAATACAGTTTGTGCTTATAAAAAGTCCTATAGGGACAAAAGCCAGGTATAAAAAGTAATAAGTGGTACTGTCAGTTTTCTCTGCTATTAGAAACAAATGGGTGCTTCAGCCTATCATTTTATTTCACAGTATAAAAATAATGTAATTATATAAATCAGATGTTCTTTCCACTCCATGCGATGCCATAAACCACATTATAACTCAACACAATGAGTCGCAATAAAATAAGATAAAATAAAAAATCTTTATTGCTCATTTAAACAGCCAGTCTCCCTGTATGAAGGGTCTTATCTTAAAATCCCCTCCCACCCTTTAAGTAATAATCGCCAGTGCCAAGAGATGCACAATAGCTGCTAATATTGCCAGCTGGCACGATTCAAAAATATTCCTGTTTCCCACATTATTCTCTTAATATACATCGATATAGGGAGAGGTTTCTTCTACAACATTTCCAAAGGGATGGGTGAACACCATGTGTGCTGTAAATATGGTGCAACTAGGGAAATTTACACTTCCGCTACTGTGGCAATTTACCCTCCCGCTAGTTTCCTAATTCATTGTTATCAGCAGATACCCCAGGAAAATAAAGCAAATTAAAATTGCAAAGCAAAAAAAAGATCCTGAGTCACAAAAAATAGATCCAGATAGCCCTGATAGCTAATTTCAGAATAATCAGTAAGCCCCATTTAGCATCTTTATAGGGCTGGCCTAAAATCTGTAATGGGGCCCTTCTGAGGCTGTAGCCATGGCAAAACATTCCTTGCAGGGCAAAGGATTGGGGATTAATGAGAAGGTTAATACAGCATGAAGCAATAAGAATTATTTACACCCATTGTAGCTCTTTGATTAGAATCAGGTTCCAAGGATGAATAACAGCAAATTGAGTGTTTGAATAGGCATAACGGAAACAATCTATTTATTTTTTTAACAACTCGGTTCTTTTCTGTAAACGTTATATATATATATAAAATAAAAAAAACACTTTGAACACATAAATGGATATAAACACTATTGCAGTGCGACAAGGGTGCTTAAAAAGCAGTTAAAAACTCCCCAGCCATACAGAACCATGCTAACCAATACTAAACTGTTTGATGCTGGTAAGGGGGTAAACAGCAGAATTTCTTAGCAAAAAAAAAAGTCCACACAGATTTTACTGGGCACTGATAATGTATATATGCATATATTTACTGAACTCTAAATTGCAGTGAATTCAAAATGAAAAGCAACTGTTAGATTTGGAAACATTTTCTATAACAAATTACTCCTTCGCTAATTAAGCCTATTTTATTTATTTATTATAATTTTTTTTTTTTTTACTAATTGTAATTACAGTAAGAAATGTTGATGGTATAATTTAGGAACTATAAAACTGATTGCAATTCTTTTTGCAAGTTACTTTTTAATAACATTATAAAACACCTTCTGTTGATTGCTATTATTATAATTATTATTCTGAACATGACCTTTTAGATAAAATGCAATAGAGGTTGATAACTTATGGTACTCTTGCTCAATAATCACTTTTAAGCAGCATTGAACCCTGGACAAGTGCTGTCAACGTACAAAAAAATAAATTAAAAAACTTCACACGTGTTATTCGCTTGCAGTTGGGATTTATAGAACCCTACTAAGCCTCTCGCAGTTCCTTCTATAATGAAATAAAAGCACAGTGCCTTTAACTGTCTGCAAGGTAGGAAAAAAAACATAAGTTTTATTGAAATATGACATTATTTGCACGGTTGATCAGTCATGTAAAATAATCCATTTCAGTGCATTATGACAATTTTTTCCAGGAAATCAGGAAGCGGTAAAGGGTAAAGCAGTGAAATGTCTGCTGTTTCATTTATAGGTCCCGTGTGTTAGTTTAATGTTTCTAGAGAACTCGGTCTGTTTCTTTTTTCTCAGAATCCATTCTCTCTAGCATATGGCAAGTGCAGCAAAGGCAGTCTATAGCATATGAGTCAGCTCAGTGTGATTTTACATATGACAGTGGAAACATTATGCAGAACTCCCTTCTAACGTTTCCTGCAAGTTCACATACATGCAGGCTGCTCTTTAATAATTTTCTTAGAATTTTTGGCCTAATGTAAATTTAAAAAAAAATCAGCTAATGACAATTAGGCAAAAAAACATGTACGGGCCAAAAAATAAAAATAGAATGGCAGATAAGTATATGTTATAAAGTGATCTAATCTTAAAAGTAGGTACAAATTATGTCATTGTCTTAGAAATATGCAAAAAAAAAGCCTTTTTGTCTCAATAACAAAATTTGATATAGTAGGAGATGTCATAAGGGATTTCGTAAGATGTATGAACAAACCAGCAAATACCATGTAATTTATTGTATATGTGTTGTCGTAACATTCCCAGTTTATCCAAGAAAGTCCAAATATCAGAACTTAAAGAAAATGGGGGATCGGGGACTAAACTTGTTTTAGATCCATTTTAATGCTTACATGTTGGGACGGAATGTGTTAAAGAGCAATCTAAAAGAATAACATGTGTCAAGGAAATTTTCTAAAAAAACTAAATTCTTTTCTAAATCTGAAATATTTCAAGCCTGCAGCAGTAATAACATATGCATTAAAAATAAATACATTTTACGCTATAAATACGCTATAAAACATCTAATTACTTGTGATTCCAGAATTGTGATTGACACACAGACAAGTTCATTAGGTTATAGGAAAACAGGAGATCGTTAAAAGTCAACTTAACAAATATATTCACAACATGAACAAAGGGATTTAAAAAAACAACAACACAATGTCTGCTGGGTTCTCTTTATAACACAATAGACATTAATCAGTTCTGTGCTATATAGAAGGATCTTTAAGGAACATCAGTGGATAAAAGACAACGTTAAAAGATGAATGAAATACATTGAGCTGTAGAAATGTCTATAGGTTACATTGCAGTGTTAAGACTGCCTCTAGTGGTTGTCTTTCAGACAGCCACCAGAGGCACATACTGCAATTTCACGGAATTTGACTCAGTGAAATGACGCTAGATGTCCTCACGCTGTGTAAGACGTCCAGCGTCTTGTAAAACCCCATAGGAAACCATTCTATGGGGAAGGCCTAATACACGTGCAACTCCCATTGGCTGATGTCGGTGGAGGAGGAGCACAATCCAGCGCCGTTATCGCTCAAGTTTTTTTTTTAACCCCAGACACCTCTTGAACGCGGCTAAGTCGCTCATTCCATTGTATTGGAAACGGACGGAGATACCCAACGAAGAAGATTGGATCCGCAGGGTTGAAGATATCCAAGGAGCTGAAGCACTACAAGCATCCATACAAGACAGAGGGGACAAACATGCCGAACGGTGGTTTCCATGGTTCACTTTCATGTCACGAAACACAGGGGGCTAGGACGGTGACCCGACGGCTTACGCGGGGGCGCAGGGCCCTCTGGGGCAAGGCCAATGTGCATGTCCTAATTATATGAACCCTACTCCATCCACGCCTCCTGTAGAATGGATACACCTCTGCGACCCCCTCATTCTCCCTCTCTTCTGGCCATATATCTAAACTACCGCCAGTGAATGGTTAAATGACCTATTTGACCCTAGAACACGCACCTGGCCGAAGATGGAGGCCACGAACCGAACACACGTAGATAAGTGACATTGAGCGCGCTATATGTTAAGCAGAGTGCAGTGTATCTCTAGAAGACATAATACCCACTCCCACCACACTCTGATGATGTAGGCGTGGTACAACTCTAGCAACTTAAATCATGCCCTCCTCCCTTCCCCCTTCTCCTTCTTCTTTCCCATTCTTGCTACTGCTTTCTACTCAAACACTCTTTGATACGCACTACCTTAGCTCCCCTGTGTGCGGTTCGCACTTACGGGGACAGGCTAAGACGTTGCAAGCCTCTGGAAAAATGTATGTAAAATGGTATTCATAATCTCTTATAATTCACGGGGCGAGAGCCCTATAGCCAGTATTTGGTGATAAGTTCTAGATCCTGCACTGGCTCCCTCATCTCCTCATACTCTTGTAAGGGCGTCTATTACATAATAACACAATGGAAGAGTGGATGCCAATAATGGTCTGGAGATATTTTGCAATGCTGTGTG